TATCCTCTATAATATATAAATGGGAGAGAAGGTTTGGTACCCTTGGTAAAGATGCACCTTTTCCATCCAGTATATTTGTACTTTTATGCTTTAGAAGTTGTACATGTTGAAATTTTCCCTTATTTGTCCTCGTTGATATTAACCTCCGTTAGTTTCTTACCGCCCCAGCTTTATACCCTAAAAAGATCACACAACTTAAGAATTTTTGATCTTCAACAGCTTTCATTTCTCCACAAAAATCCTCACCCTCTTCGCTTATTCTAGCCAGAACTCCAAATCCCTAAAGTAGTTGCTTCCATCCTTGGGTAGCTAATCCCTTCTATTTCTTTCCCTGTAATAACCAAAACACTAGGTCCACAGAGTTGCAGCTTCTGACCAGAGCTCTAGGTTGTCGTCTCGACGCTCACCGTTCAAGTTCCCAGCCACTGCCGCTGTCTATTTCCGACGAGGTACACGCAATGCATCTCTAATCCAAATCCCTAATAATCTTCTCTATATATTCTATATATTTATTGAATTCCAATTTTTAGGGATTTTTGAAAGTGTGAATATTGTTTGTATATGGATTAATTGGTTAGCTTGGTGCTGTTTGATTTGTTGGATATTTGATTTTTGAAGAGAGATGTGGAATTTTAGAGGAAAATGTGATCACCAATTTCATAAATCTTTTTTAGATGATCTGTGTTAGTATTCAATTCCACTTTCACATGACCAAAATGATGTGAATCTTTGTAAATATATTTTGATTTTATACCCTTCTAATCTTATAAATGATTTGAAATTCAATTTTAAATTGTTTACAAGTGTGATTTTACTGCTTTTTTATATATTCAATTTTTTTGAGACTAATAATTTAATTTAAGATCGACAATGGGCCATTCACTTCCATTAAAGTTAGGAGTTAGAGAGTTCTTGCGCAATTATTGTGTAATATATGATGTGTAATAACCAATTGTCCATTGTGTCTTGAAATTTATTATGCTAAATTTGTTTATATGGCAGAATGATCACCCATATACAAAACAACATGGTCGAGTAAATAGCCAGCATGAAGATTTGTAGGTATACTTGTAAAGTTCTAAGGTTTAATTTTGACACTAAATTATACTAAGACTCATGTTACTAGAGTGAGTGAAAATGGAATTATTACACCCCTAATACAGAAAATATTATTGGCACTTCTACTGAGTTGGTAAAGAAGATGTAGATTTCTATTTAACAATTGAGTATGAAAGAATCCTCTTTTATTGGTCTAAGTGTTTCATGCAAAGCCATGTTGCAAAATGCAAACTAATTACAGTTAATTTCTAGGATTCTGAGATGGCAAGGAAGTGAAAAAATACTGGGCAGTTTTTCCCATTCCATGATTTTGATGATGTTAGACCTGGGAGAACTAGGAGTACAAGGAAAGGAAAATATGGAACTGCCAAAGAGAATTTTATTTATATTCCAATTCCAAAGAAATCTCAAACAACACAGTTGGTTAGTAAAGAATAGGATCCTTTTTATCTTGGTCTATTTGGATCCCTTTTTGCCCATTGAATTGATTTTCATCCGCACCTCTTGTTACTTAAAAACTTGATCTTTGACATTCATGGATTTTAGTGTAGTAGTCATTAAAGCTTTGACGAATGTGACAATCCTGTTATACATTTTGTAAATATGATTTCTGGTGGGTATGAGTTTCAAGTCAACTGTAACTCATTTTACCTTAGATGGTTGTACCACACACTTTGTTTTCTAATTCAATATCTTTACTTTAATCTATTAAACCTCCTTTTATTTTGAAAACAATGATCCACTTATGAGCTTGTATTGACAAACAAATTGATTTGTACATGTAGTAGTACCTTTAAAATAGATTAATAGCTCAGTTATGGTGTGAAAACAATTGATACTATAATAGAGTAGTTATAGTGTGATCAAATAAACCCGCCAAGATGTTCTGTTTTTTATTTCCATCTTGTGCATGTTTTCTCACTATTTTTCTTTTTTATTCTCATGAGATCAATAACAAATTTCTTCTCATTCTTTATACGAAGTATATAATTACAAGTCTTTGCTTCTCTTCTGCCTACGATAGGGATTAGGATTTTGGATTAATGAATTTGAATGTTAACCTTTCAGATAGATTAAGTACTTAGTATATAGAGGTTAGAAATTATATTTTTTAAGCTTTACTATTCCCAATTGAAAACCTGCTTCACTGTATTCAATCATTTTACACATAGTTTTTTTTGTATAAATGTGAATATTTGAATCCAGATTCTCATTGGAAGATGTTATGGATGTTGTGATCGAAATAGAGAGAAGTATGCATTACCCACTTTTTTTGAGGTGTTTGGTGAAAAATGTTCCCCACTTAAAGTTACCAGTTGCTTTAAACTGTAATCATCATACACCCTATGATAAACTGCTCCCATTATTCTTATTGACTTACTATGAATTGGAAATATATCGTCAAATATATTCTAGATATTGCCAATTTCCTTTTGAGGTACTAAACAAAGAACAATATGCACCATTCCATCCAAAAAGTATGTACTCTTAGCTTTTAGAGTTGTACCAAGCCATATACTTCCCAGTATGCCCCTATCTCCGTTATAATTATGCATTCTCCGTATACTCCATCTATTCCTATGAACATACTGGTATATCCATTTACTTAACTATCCAAAGAAACACAACCCATTCAATTTAATTCTCAGGCAATACGGATAGGAGTAAATGCTCGCGAAATCAAAGCCTTCAATTGTTATCGAATTAGTTACCTGGAGCGGCGATAGAATTTCATTCCGGAATTTGAGTGATTCACGAGATGTGTTGCTGTGGAATTCTCTTCATTTCCAGATTCTCCAAAATAAATCAGGTAATTGATTTACATTAAATTTAAATATAAATGCTAATACATGATTAGATTACGCGATTTGTGAGTTTTCTGGGTTGTGGGTGAACGTCATCTGTATTCCATTTCATTTTTGCAGTTAAAAAAATCGGGGTCTCAACATACGTTATATTTTCCTCAATCATGCAGCTATTTATAATCAGTTTTTGGAGATGGAATGAATCACAGTCGTTTGCTTTGCTTCTAGGTTTGTCAATTGTTTCGGGCTTTTTTCACTCATTCCAGGTATAACTAGAACCTAAAACTCAAACTTAAGATAAGGGTGTGTCATATCTTAATTAAATTCTAGACTCAACCCCAAGTTAAGATAAGGGTGTGTCATATCTCTTAACACCAACTTGGTTTATCCCTTCTTTATTTTTATTCTTAAATTTCGTACCTCCCCATATTCTCTTCCTAAACCTCTTCTTTTCTTCCAAAAAACACAAAAAAGAACTCCAAAAACACCTCCCATATTTCGCCCCATATACTTCCGCATTCATTTCCTCCACAAATTCATCACAAAATTAG